GAGTCGGCTGGTACTGGTCCTTCGGGCTGCAGGCTTCTGCCTCATTCTTGCCAGCGTGGGACATGTGGTGGCAGTAAACAGAGGCCATGGCACCACACCTGAGAGGAGGAGAGGGGTGGCAGTCACTGAGAAAAACCAGGCTGGGCAATTCATGAGGCTGGTACTTAGGGTCCTCTGGAAGGACCCAGGAAACACCTTTAGGACTTTTCATGGTTGCTGCCATCTCTTTCCCCCACCCCACCCATCACTCTCCAACCATTCCCAAGTCTCTCCTCTTAAGTCAGCCTTTCACCTATAGGTTTGTGATGTGGTTTCATTAAGATTCCCACAAATGTTCGGCTAGACTATCAAGATTGTTTCATTTGCCAGGCTCAGGAAGTTACAGAGGGTTTGATTAGGGGAAATCTGTTTTGAGTAAATGCAGTGTGTATGTGTGTGTAGACAGAATTTCTAGCCCTGACAGAAGGTGACTTGGCTCCTGGTGGGATTCAGATGATGGCTAATTGAAGAAAGGGAAGGTAGAAGGGTAGAGGATAGGACAGAAACTCTATTTTTGTTGTTGTTGTGTTGCCAGCAAGTCGATTGTGACTCATAGCAAGCCTAGGCTGTCATCTTTACAGGAGCAGATTGCCAGGTCTCTTCTCCTGTGGAGTGGCTAGTGGGCTCGAACTGGTGACCTTCCAGTTAGCAGTGGGACTCTTAGCCATTGAGCCACTATTATTTTTAGAGCCCTCTTAATGGTGATTAGAGAATAGTGTAGTCTAGTGGAAAGTGCACTAGATGGAAGTCAGGAGACATAGCTTCTCATTTCAGCTTTGCCATTGTGTGACCCTGGATAAGTTTCTTATTTCTGGTCCTCATTTTACTCATTTCTAAGACAAAGTCATTGGGACCATCCCCTATAAAATCCCTTCCAGTTTCAAGGTTCTGTGATGTTCAGATCATTGGTGATTATATTGGAAGCATAGGAATTTATTTAAAAAGAAATACTCATCCCCTTTTATGGACAGTCTTTAGCTTTTTCTCCTTTTAAAGGACAAGCACAGATTGGAGATAAACTTTTCCTGCTTCCCCACTCCCTCATCTTTCTGCCTGTGGGAAAGGAGGGTTGAACAGCATTTTCATATTCTTGCTTCATTTGGTTTTCTTTTTGTGCTTTTTTTTTAGGGCGAGAAATTGGACTTTTGATGATGTTTGACCCAGTGGCAGCAATAGCGGGCAACGTGATTTCAAAGCTGGGCTCAGCCTCTGCTGTGTCTGTCTTGTAATCACCAAGCTCATTTTGGACCAGGAATTCCAATCATGTCTGTGATGATGGTAAGAAAAAAGGTGACAAGAAAATGGGAGAAACTCCCCGGCAGGAACACCTTTTGCTGTGATGGCCGCATCATGATGGCCCGACAAAAGGGCATCTTCTACCTGACTCTCTTCCTCATCCTGGGGACATGTACACTCTTCTTCGCCTTTGAGTGAGTTGCTATTGAGTAGAGATGCTTGATGATGGTTAGTTTGGGTTGGAGGGGAGAACCTTCTTTCTGGGGTGTTAGTTGACAGGCCTTGGATAGCTTTTGCTGTCCTTTTGAGCATTGTCTATAGATCATGCCAACTGTGACTTCATTGCTCGCAAAGAAGTGTCTTGGGAAACCTCGATCTTCCTCAAAAAGTCTAAGATCTTTGATAAAAAAAAAAATACCTATTTTATAGTACTGATTTGGAACTATTGCTGGCAAACTTGGGAAATAAGAAAGTTTGTCTTTGTATTATATGCCTCCTTTTTCAGTGTGTCTTTTTTCCCCTTCTGGTTTCCTTAGGAAGGAGCTCTGGTGGTGTAGTGGTTAAGGCATTTGGCTGGTAACCAAAAGGGTGGTGGTTCAAAACCCACCAGCTGCTCTGTGGAGGAAACATGAGGCAGACTGATTCCACAAAGATTTACAGCCTTAGAAACCCTATGCAGGTTGCTATGAGTTGGAATAGACTCGATGGCAGTGAATTTGGTTTTTTGATTGGTTTCCTTATGAGTTTAGTGATAAACAACCTCTTCCTCACCCCTTGCAAACCTAGACATGACTGTAATAACGGCGCCCAATTATACTCCCCTGTTCTGTAATTCTTTGTCCTGTTTCCTTAGGGCTAGCTATTCCATTGAAAAACCAACTGAATTGGGAACCTGCAGACGGGGGATCTAGCCTCGGCTGTGCCATAAACTAGCTGTGTGCCTGGCACATAATGTGCTTATTACAGCTCTCTCTCTCGTGGCACAGTGCCTAAGGCATCTGATTGCTAACTAGAAGGTTGGTGGTTCAAACCCACCAGCCACTCTGCAGAAGCAAGACTGGACAATCTACTTCCGTAAAGATTTACCACCTCAGAAACCCAGTGGGGGTCACTGTGAGTCAAAATCGACTCGATGGCAGTGGGTTTGGTTTTTTGGCTTGGTATTCTGTGTATGTCTGATAGTTATCTTGGAGTTCTTTCTTCCATGAAGTAATATCTATTACTTGAGTCATTGTTTGAAGTATGTGTAGATCACTTCTCAAGGGAGGTGGCCAGTTTGAATTCTAGGATACTGTGGCATGACTCTGGGATGTGCTGAGAATGCTATACACTCTAGGGATGGGAGCAATGCTAATTGTTTGGGGATTACTGTGAGGTGGGCCTTGAGAGGCCATGAGATGTGTGTGTAGATGGCAAGCCATGACTGATATCAGCCTCTATAGTTTATGTACACAGGTGACCTGGAAATGGAGTTCCAATGCTGGGGCATGGCAGGTAGGAGGGGGCCACTTGGCTAGCCTTTGTAGATAATTAGAATGAGCTCTGGTCTTTGGGGGCTCATTTTTGTCATTCCTCTGTGTCTTAGTTATCTAGTGGTACAATAATAGACATAACACAACTATTTATTCTCTCACAGTTTAGGAGGCTAGAATTCCTAATTCAGAGTACTGGCTCTAGCGAAAGGCTTTCTCTGTCTTTCCACTCCGGACAAAGGTCCTTGTCTCCTTTCAACATCTCTGGGCCTGGTGTTCTTTGAAGATTTCCATGTGTCTTGGCATCCATCTTCCCTTGGGTCTAGGAGGTTCTCAGCACAGGACCCTGGGTCCAAAGAATGTGCTTCATTCCAGGTTCTTTCTTGGTGGTACCGAAGTCTCTTTGCTCACTTCTCTCTCCTTTTAGCTCTTATAAGATAAAAGGTGATACAGACTATAGCCCAGGAAAATCTACCCTTACATCGGATGAGGGCTGTGACCTGAGTAAGGATGCTGTGTCCACTCTAATCCCTTTACGGTTGATTGGCTGATCATATCAGATCACACCATGGGGAGATGATTACATCATTGCATAACTGCCAAACCCATCATTACATAGGTGTCAAACTGCTGAGAATCATGGCCCAGCCAAGTTGACACATATTTTGGGGGGTCATAGTTCTATCCATGACATTCTATAAGGGCTTCAGGCTTTTCCAGTGCATCAAGAGTGAACTTTGGGCTGCTTTGCCAGTCTTTTTGATGGTTGCAGCTGGCTTGAGTAACAGGAGTGGGAGGAGGGGCACCTTGCTTACACCAGGCCTAGGAAGTCAGAGCAGAGAAGCTCTTTATTCAAGGCCCTTTGGATGCTGCTGCTGCTAATTTTGTGAAGCATTTGACAAAGTCAGACAGGTTGCTGAAAGCTTCTTAGCTGGTTTCCCATCTTAGTTTCATGGCTGAGAGTATGCATGTGTACTTGTGTGTGGTACAAGTGAGCACGTGCAGCCAGGCAGGCAGATGCCTGACATTTAAAACAAAATTTCCCTCCCCTGCCCCTTCTCTCCAAGTTGGCTTTGCTTTGTTCCTGCCTTGCCTCTATTAGAATTACAGAGCTGAACTCTGCTCTCTGGCATTCTCCCTTGCCTCCACTCCTTCCCCTGCTGAATCATTAGCTCTCTTTGTCCCCTTCCCCTTCCCCATGGTTAAATTTTTATGGTTGGAACCATTCAAAACAAAGATAAGACTTGTTTCCAGGTCCTGAGTGAGTTGGTAGTCCTGGGCCCGGGAAACCTCTGGTTTGACTGGCCGTGGGAATTTGAAATTGGGAGGAATTGGCGTTAGGTACTTTTTCTGGGAGCCAGAAGAGAGTCTGATTTGGATCTGTTCCCCTTAGGCCCCGGAAAGGCTCTGAAGAAGGCTGCCTGTGGGATGAAGCTTATAATTAGCCAAGTTACTGTTTGACAGAGGCCAGTTGAGTTTTCTACTAAGATAGTATTTTCCCCCAACTTATTCCTTGTACTTAGCCCACAGGTATGAAAGGTGAAGTTGTTTGTAAACTGCCCTGAATTCCAGCTGTCTATATGCTAGAGTAAATATTTTTGAAGGTAGGGCTTGCGGAGGGAGTCATGGGAGGAGGAGGGGATGTGTTCACTGAGGAGTGGAAAGGGAAAGTAGAAATCTGACCCAGGAGGAGAGGACCCTGGTGATGAATCCTTCTTGCTGAGAACAGTGGAATGTGTATAAATGTGTATGTGTGTGTGGTCATATACAGACACACAGATACTCTAGGTGGTGGCTGCCTTGTGCTTAGCTAATGACAGGCCAGACAAGGGATACCGTCATGCCTCTAAAGGACTAAGTCTATTTCTGGTCAGTCTTTTTCTTTACGCCAGACACACAGTAGGGGGTAGTGTTTGGGCTCCCTTGTTTGTGGCAGAACTTAGTGAGGCCTCAGGAAATCAGCTGATCTAGTCCCTTGCTCCCTTGCTTCCAGGTAGGTGAGGTGTCTAAACCATTAGTGACAAATGACTGCCCATTGCTTTCTAGCTGCTACGTTTTTGTATTGTGGGAATATAGTTCAGATCTTGGGGTTCGTCAGGATCTACATTTTAGTAACAGGGTTCTGCTTGCAGCAGGTGTTTAGGGACAAGTGTGAGTTGATGTATAGCTTCCTGTGACACAACTCTGGGTCTGCCAGATGGCTCGAGAAGTCTGATCAGGCATGTGGGTGCCTCTTCATGAAACCATGCAGTGTTAGTGTCAGGGGGATAGCCTTTGACTTTTGGATTTTGCCTTTAGGCATCTAGACTTTTTGAAGGAGGGGCCTGAGATGCTCAATGGAAAGAGCAGGTTGAAGGTTGTCCGGCCAGCAGCCAGTTGGCTCCACACTGTTAGAAACTGTTAGAAGTGTTTCAGAAGAAGCTGGGTGGCCATCTCCCAGGGTTGCTGTCATAGAGCAAATCCCTGCCCAGGATGGGAAATTGGACTAGTTTATCATTTAAGCCTCTTGCAACTCTGAAAAACTATGAAATTCTGTTTAACTCTTTACCTGTTTGTTGTTGTTGTTATGTGCCGTCGAGTCGGCCCCGACTCATAGCGACCCCTCCTTGGGTTTCCGAGGCAGTATCACTACGGAAGTAGGATT